CAATTTGTATAGGCATATATATATATATATATATTAAATATCTAATAATAACCTCAACGTCATGATGTGGATGATTCACGCCCATTGTTTGACCGCTGGCGCCTTGAAGAGCCACGTCAATGAGATAAACTAGATATGATTAATATGTGTTGATGCTAATTTTGCTCTTTGAAAGTAGAAATATAACTCTTTTTATTGTGCTCTCAGCTGTTATATTCAAACAATGTTGGAAAAAGTTCTTAAAAATTATATTTTAATCACTTTTTAATTTTTTCAATAACTGTTTTTATTGATTGAAAATTAATGTTTTGATCATTACTTTTAGTCGTGATATTAATTTATTCATTAAATAGCCACTAAAAATAAACGATAAATTAATATTAAATTATTTAACCTTTAGAATATACAATAGCAATAATTTTTTATTCCACTAAATGGGGTCGGCTACATGATTCATTTTCTCCATTTTGTCTTATTAAGCGTCATATTTTCATTTAATTCCAATATTATCTTTTATACAACATGCTCAGGATGAGGTCCTGTAAAGTCAACCTCTACCTTTCTTAATATAAATTGAATCCAAGACACCTACTCTCCTAACCAGATCATTAGATGGTCGGCGAATATATTCATTTTGCATTTTGTCTCTAACTAAGCGTCAAACCACTCATCCACCTAAGCATTCTCATCTCAGCAACACTTAAATTTGTTTTATTCTTCTCTTTTAAAGGGTAGCATTTTGTGTCATAGAGCATTGTAGGTCTCACCACCATCTTATAAGATATTTTTGTTAGTCTAAGTGGTACTTTTTTATCACACAATAGCCCTGATGCATTCCTCCACTTCAACCAAACAACTTGAATTCTACTAATAACATCCTCATCTATATTACCATCATTTTGAACAATAAAGTTTAGATAAGTCTAGATATCTAAAATGTTCACCATTTTAATGATTTAATCACCCACTGCTACCAATCTGTAACTAGATCTACTACAACTAAAATTATATTTCATGTATTTATTTTTAGATCTATTCAAATGAAAGCCTTTAGACTCTAATGTAGATCTCCATGATTAATTTTTTCCCGAATTTCTTTTCTAGCTTTATCCACAAAAAATATATCATCAACGAAAAGTATACACCATGGTATATCTTCATGTAAATGGGCCAATAAGTGCATCCATAACTAAAACAAAAGCATATGGGCTTAAAGCCAAATCCTTATTTAATCCAACTGAAATAGGAAAATACTTGGACAATCCTCCTTCTGTTCGAACATAAGTAATAGCTCAAGTATAATGACTTGAATATAAGTCATATCAAAATATTTCTCTTCTAAAACTCTCAAAGAACTTTTGTTGGAACCTTATTGTATGTTTTTGTTTTTAATCAATACAATTCATATGTAGAACCTTTTTACTCTCTCGATACTTCTCCATCAAACTACATAATAAATGTATAGCTTCCATAGTAGACTTGCACTACATAAATCCAAACTAATTATGAGAAATTTTTTTATCATGTCTTAACCTATGTTCAATTACTCTCTCTCATAATTTTATTATATGATACTTTAACGTAATTCCTCTATATTTTGCTCATTCTTGTGCATCCCCTTTATTCTTAAAAATGGGGACCAAAATACTCTTTCTCCACTCCTCGAGCAACATTTTTGTTTTAAAAATAATATCAAAAATTTTAGTGAGGCAAGAAATTCCTAAATCTCATAAATAGTTCCCCATTTCTATTAGGATACCATCAAGTCCTACTTATTTTCCACCCTTGATTTTCTTTAAAACATAATCAACTTCTTTTTTACTAACGTGACAATAAACTAAAAAAATTAATAATTAATGATATTAAGATCACTAAAGTTGATCATATTTTCAAAAATTTCATTAAAACTTTTATGAAAGTATCACACTCACGTTTGTTAAATATCATCATTTAAGAAAAAGTATTTATTGATTCTCATCTTTTTTGTGTGTGTGTGCATATCCAATTATATGATAATGCATCACTGTATTTTTATCTTCCAAGTCTTCATCTTAAAATTCAAAACTAATAATCAATGTTGAGTACTTAAAATTTTACTTTAAATGACCTTATAGCCTTTACATTCTCAACAATCTCTTCTTCTCATAAGAAAATAATCAATTTGTGTTTTATTAGGCCCATTATTATAAGCAATAAGATTTCATCTCCTTTCTTGAATAAAACATTAGCAATAAAAATCATAAGGTAGTCAAAATCTAATATAATTTTAACTTCCTAATCATTCATTTTAAAATCGTAACCACAATAAATATTTCTAAAATCTTCCACTACTCTACCAACATGTCTATTTAAAACTCCTCCAATAAAAATTATTTCTTAAAGATGTATTATGTATATTAATTCATCTAGGTCATTCCAATTTTTTTCTTTTTAACATATATCTAAACATGCTTGAGGAGCTTAAGCAATTATAACATTAACAATATTATTATTAACAATAATTTTTAGTGTTATAATCTATCTCTAATTCTATTAGGTTTATAACATTATCTTTCAAACTCTTATATATAATTATACTTAGACCATATTTAGTATGAATCATACCTGACTACTAAAGTTTAAAACCTAAGCTATCAATCTCCTTAAAACTTTGTCCAACCCATTTAGTTTTATCTTTTAATGAACCATAATATATACAAATTCCATTAATTTACTTGTGAGAGTGTTTGTATTCCTAGATCATATCCTAATATTAGTTTTATAGACTAATTTCTACTTTGTCTGCATTTGTCTATAATGCAATATCCTTGCTTATTTAACACTACATTTGGGCGCCAGTGTTGTTGCCCGTACACACTATTTACTGTATTCAAGTCATACATTGCAATGTTTCTAGGAGACGCCCTAGTATTTATATAATGAATTAAAAAATTTGTGTCATGTTTTTTTTTAATAAAAATTTTTGTTGGTTGTCGACTACTTAATATAACCCTCCACATTTCATTTAAGGTAAAATTAACAAAATTAAGTTCATTTTTATCTTTTTTTTTGTTGAAAAGCATTAATTAGCATAGGCTTCAATGACAATTCTATAAATTTATCATTGTGCGGATGTTATTCCTTGTTAATTTTTGTTGTTTAGTAAAGTTTATAGAGGGGAAGTTTACCTCCATTGAAATGAGTTTTTAAAAATCCTTGAATTCATTAGGATCATTTTTAAATTTAATTACACAATATCATCAGTACATATTATTCCATATTTGTAGAAGAAATGGACACTACAATAAAAACATGATTAGTAGCGGAAAATTTGGTCAGTGAAAGGATTAATAGGCTGTTTAGTACTATAAACATGAACTTACAAAACTCTTTTTTAAATTAAGAACTAAGAAGGCAAGGACTTGAAACAGCAAAAGGTTTATTGGTTGTTTAGTACTTTCTATATATTATCAATTTGTATAGGCATATGATCGGATTGACAACCCTATATATTATTAGGATATATGGCATGCATAACTCAGCTACATCTAAATATTTGTATAGTTCTTATTCATTCTAGGACAATTATTTACCATATAGAATATATTGTTCTTTGCAGCCTTTTAAAAAGAGGATTGTAATCATCAACAAGTTCCTAGTTGAATTACTATGTATATCATGTGCTAACCTCACAAGCATTTTAATCAAATAATTACATTCATAATATATAATTTAAGAACATACATGTCCAATAGAATATTGTTTCTCAATTAAACTCGACTAACTTCATAATACCTTAAATTCACTTAAGTGGGAATCAAGCTCACTTAGGTAGTTTAGCGATTATCTTAATAGAAATAGGATTGTATGGTTAGTTAAGCAATTTGATTATATTATTCATATCATCTCATTATAAAGGTATCTACTTACATTGTAAGGAATTACATTTATTTACTTTCATGTAATTGAGTCTACTAATTTTTTACCTATTTCATTGCTTAAAATCAGGATGATCCTAATATAAGATATAATTCATGGTTATTAACAAATATCAAATGTTAAATTTGGTAAACTACCATCTTAACTAAATAAATTAAGAGTCTTTTAACTCTAGATGATAAAATGATTGTCTTAATTGTGTATTATCTATCATTGCAAAGTTCCTTATCTAATTCTCATAAGCATCTCTTCTTGCCTATTCACTCCTTCTAAGAATACTCTTGGATCAAAGCCCAAGCTATAAAAACTACAATATTAGTAAAAATTGTCGGCCCACGAATGTGGTTCCGATCCCTCCGGTGATGCCAGAAGTCGTTTAGATATACGATTAGTAGGTCAGGCCAGTCCATTCATTCCGGTCAGTGTGAGTGCCTGCGGTCAGTCGACGACTTGGTTTTCAAATCTTCCTCGCGGGCAAATGGTTGAAAGCATTGATTATTTTGTATCCGATTAAACGTCTTACTAATCAATCACAAAATTTTACTACCGGAAACAGGTTACATATTTTGACACAAAACTAACGTTGGACTTGTGTTAGATTTTTGTTGAGCATTGTTCGGTGGTGATAAATGGACGCTATTAAGTAACGTCAGATTTATCATCTACTTTGCGTCAGAATTTATTGGCAAGGCAGAACTCTCATTCGCGTACTTCCTCTTCTTCCTCCCTCTCAAACGGTCGGTTTGGCATCTCCGGCCAACTACCACCGGCGACTTCACGGAATAGGCATGAAATTCTCCTCTGCATCATTTAGGTATATTTTTTTTCTCGGTTGAGTCTTTCTTTCTTGAAATTTTTTGGATTTTCTTTTCACTCTATTTTAAAATTGAAATTTCGGTGTTAGTTATGTAATGCATAGGAATTATGTGGTTTTTATGTGTAATGTAAAGTTTAGGTGTTAGATATGTAATGCATGGGAATTGGGTGATTTTTATATAAAAATATAGTTTCGGTTTTAGCTATGTAATGCATAGGAATTATAAGGTTTTTATGTGGAATGTAAAGTTTAGGCATTAGATATGTAATGCATAGGAATTGAGTGATTTTTATGTAAAAACTAAAGTTATGTTTAGGTGTTAGACATGTAATGTATAGGAAGAGCATGTTTTTTTATGTATAATTTGAAATTTACGTGTTAGATAGGTAATGTATAGGAATTGCAATATTAAGTTTAGTTGTTAGATATGTTGGACTATAACAGAAAAGCATTAAACTAAGCTAAGTATTGTTGGAATGAGAATGCTTAGGTTGACGAGTGAATTTAAGCTTAGAAACAAAATGTGAAGCTAATATGTTCGTGAAAGGGCTGGTGTTGCACCAGTGTTAGAAAAGATTAGATAGAGTCGTCTTAGATGGTTTGGTCACATTAAACGTCGACCATCTGATAATTTTGCTAGGAGTGAATGTTTTAGATATCTTTGGTCTATTGTTCAATGATATGGTGATATAGTCGGGAATACTAATTATTAGTAGAATTCAAGTTGAATCGTTGAAGTGGAGGAATACATCGAGTATTTTGTGTGAAAGAAAAGTATTACTTAGACTTTAAGGAAAATTTTATAAGATGGGCGTAAGTATTGCAATACTCTAAAAAGACCTAGGCATCTTGTATAAATAATGATCTTAGTCTATTAGAATTTAAAAAATATATATATGACACTCAATAGGACATTATGGAAAAAAATGATTCATGTAGCTCACCCCACTTACTGGGTTTGTATGTATGTAATACATGAAATCTGTGTGGTTTTTACAACTGATATCTAAATGTATAAATCTACATATATGTTGCAGATGGATATTTGAAACTTAAGATAATGGGTGTATAACTCATTGTATCCACAAAGAAAATGACTCACTGATGAGTGATTGAATGATATTGGGGAATTTGAATATGTGGCATTGTAGCCGTCGGCTTACCTTTTAGAATGCATGTTTTAATGGCCCTGTATGAATCACTAGAATGAAGCATACTTGATATCTGGAAAAGTGAAGTTGGATCAATACCATATGACATTTAAACTCAATTATTTGTATTGGACTTCACATGATAAGTTTAAACGTCTACATGTTCAGTATGGTCATGCTGCAACTCATCAAGATATGCCCCTCCAAAGAAAGACGATTCTGACGTATATGAGGAAATGATTGGTGATGCTCGCATGAATGCTTTTGTTGGGAATGTTCCTGATTATGACCAAGCACCGAACAGTGAAGTACAACTGTTTTATGATTTATCAAATGCTGCAAAACAACCTTTATGGAAAGGCAACACTATGTATACAGAGTTATTGATGGCACTAAGATTAATGTTTTCTTAGTTCTTTTTAATATTTGGAGTTGTCAACTTATCTATTTATATGTCATCGTATAATTTTCTTGTTCGAATAAATTTCACTCCTGAATCATATCAATGATTTGAAGAGGAGATGAATAAAAAAAAGGATATCGACAACAAATAGGTAAACAAATAAAAAGAAACAAACAGAAGGCTTATATGTGGGTAATCCTTGTATAATAGGTCGAGAGTATACGTTCGAATAGGATCGGATTGAAGTACCTCGGAGCACAACATCCATGAAGAGCATCCCTACATAAGCCACCCCCAAAATGAATTTTTTTGTCTTGGGGTAAAAAGCCTCCCAGGAAAAATAAAAAAAATAACTCGATCTGCATGAAAATATGTTAATAGGAAAGCTAACAAACATGCAATGTATAATGCGCCGCCGAATAGGATCGGATCGAAGTATCTCGGAGCACAACATCCATGCAGAGCATCCCTACATAAGCCACCCCCAAAATGAATCTTTTTGTCCTGGGGTAAAAAGCCTCCCAGGAAAAATAAAAAAATAACTCGATCTGCATGAAAATATGTTAATAGGAAAGCTAGCAAACATGCAATGTATAATGCGCCGTGTCTTTTATTGGGTAAGTTAAATAGCACCTGCAAGCAAATAATTAATAGAAATTGTCACATTCTCCCCCTTTCAATAGTAACTGTGTTTGTGCGTGTCTATATATATATATATATATATATATATATATATAGGCACGTCTCCCTGTAAAAAATCGCTCTAATATACTACCATACATATCAAGTATACAAATACACCAAAAAGTACAAAAATTATGTTTGGCTAACACAAGCACATCAATAAGAAGAATAGCTAAAGGCATCGAAAAGACTAACTAACATCCTAAATCCTAGTCTAGCACACATTCTAACGAAAAGTGTCCTAACAGCATCTAAGTGCTCAAAGTAATGTCTCTGGCTACCGTATTTCTTTGCTACATCGGCCCTGTCCTAAAGATCCAAAGGATCTAAAGCACGTCATAAGAAAGGGGGCAACATTTTTAAAAGAGGTAGCCTCACATATGACCTAACATACATAAATTTTAATTTAGGTGGATAATACTTAAGCAAAAATATTCATTTTTATAATGGCCTACTAGTGACGGATCCCGAGCAATCAAGTGACATGCTTTAGAGTCATTGGATATTTAATACAATCATATTTTTTATTGCTCGTGGTATGAAAACTCGCATTGCTCGCTAAGACATCCTCGCGTGCTTATTTGAGTGTAACAACCAATAAATGGGCCACTCTCCTAATGATTAAGACAATCTATCAAGGTGAATGAGTAAGCATACAAACATGCAAAATGCCCACATTGTGATTGTTTGACAGAAGCACAAAGAAATCTCAACAGGCGCCCAAAAGGGTGAATCACACATCTTGCAAATGAATGCAAGTATGATTCATGCAACGTGACACAGACAAACAGGATGTACCGGTAAATTAGGATACGTACAAAGAGGAATTATGCCTAGCAGGGACCTGGGGCACCTTGCGACAAGCAGACACCGACTACGAATGAGTTCGCATCGAGTAAAAGGATACATATGAAAATGATTACACCTTACCTGAGAAGCACTCACCTAGCACATATGCAAATATGCAAGATATGCAACAGACATATAAGAATAATCAAGCAACTGACATATAGAAATGTTAAGCATATGTCATACAAAAGATAAGCATACAAGAATTTCTAGTGCAAAACATACTAAGTTACATGATTTTTATAAGTGAGAATCGTACACCTATGTGGACACACATTGTCCTCACACGATTTCAGTGGCTAGGAAGCGTGACTCGTGCTTAACACAATGTAAAATATATATGACTCTCTAGGCAGCGGCGTAGAGAGTGAGATGGATGGCTCGTGAGTGAGCCAAATCTTCCCAAAGTGTGCAAGCGTTTGTCCCTGTGCATACGAAGTCGTATGTGGGGAAGTCACTCACGAATGTGGGCACTCAAAGAGACACTACAAGTGGGGTGCTCAAAGAGACACTCCAAGTGGGGATGCTCAAAGAGACACCCTGGCATGTCATATGCAAAAATAATTTACATGCAATGAAATATCATAGGCATCAAATCAAAATAGGATTTTTCGTACACATGCAAAGAAAGCATGAAACATACAATAAAGCATACAAGCATGCAAGTAATTTGTCGCCCCAATCATGGTAGCTGATCAAACTAAAAAGATGGGTCAATTGATTCAGGATAATCCATCAGACTCAAAAGAGTGGGTGATCGACACGGGATGGCAGATCAAACTCAAAGCAGATGATCGACACGGTGAGCTAATCGAACCTAAAAGCTTGGGCAATCGGGCCAAGGAAGTCGATCGTGACCGGAGAATAAGTCAATCAGGTTGGGATGATCAATTAGACCCAAAGTAGGTGATCAAACCAGTGGGATCAGTCAAACCCAGTAGATCTGGCAATCAGGCTAGGGCGACCAATCGAGCCCAAAAAATGGTAGATCGAGCTGGAACAACCGATCAGATTCAAAGCGAGTGATCGAACTAATGCAATCAATCAAACCTAAAAGATTGGGCGATCGGGTCGAGGAAGACAATGGAGCCCAAAAAATGAATCGGTCAGATCGGGACGATCGAACAGACCCAAAGTGGGTAATCGAATCGGTGCAATCGATCAAACCCACAAGATTGGGCGATCGGGTCGAGGCGGCTGATTGAGCCCGCAAAATGAGTCGATCGGGCAGGGAAGGCCGATCAGATCCAAAGTGGGTGATCGAATCGATACTG